CTCCTAACTTTGTATACCATATTTACTTGCATACTACGTGCATCTTTCCTCCCCAAAATGAGCCTTCCATATCTGGGGTGAGCATTAAGCATGAAAGCTCATTTTTCTACCCAGAATAGAAGCATGGAGATGTTGTAAGATGGCTGCTGCTACTTTTCCTTCTCTTTGTCCAGCAACTGCTTGGAGGGGGAAGCAGAGCCCAGCAGGGGCAGATCCACAGCTAAGCAGCCACACCTCACTTAGATTCTTGCTCCACCCAGAGTTTAAAACCAATTGCTTGGCAACAGAAGTGGCATTTTTATTCAGGAAGTATTGTACTGAGGAAGTTAATTGACTTCATGCCTTGTTATAATCTATCTCAGGGGTCTAACTGATCCAACCGCATAAAGGTTGCTGGGCTGGTCCGTGATCAGGGTTAGGCAGTGCCGGATCTAGCATGCAGGGCTGGTCCAGCAGGGTGCCTCAAGCAATGTGTGTGGCCGGTTCAGCCTCACGCGCTATGTGCAGTATATGTCTGCCTTGTTCTGGGGCTCCCTCTGTATGTGGTTCATGGGGCCAGCATGGGATGTGTGCTGGCTGTGGGGCTGGCCTGGATTGGGCCCCAGGCTGTCTGTGTCTGCTGGAGCTAGCATGCAGAGTTGGTCTAGCAGGTTGCCCCTGCAGCTCTGTGCTAGCCCCATGCAAGCCTTGGAGCAGGGCTGGTGTGTGCTGTACGTGGCACACTGGACTGGGCTGGCTGTGCGTGCTGCAGGAGGCACAGAGGCCAGCATGGGGTGCACACTGCATGTGGCACCTTGCCAGAGTGACTCTGCATGCTAGCTCTAGTGCAGCCTGATCCGAACGATTTAGCGTGGGTGCCGCATGCAACACACATCCCGGACAGACCTCTGTGCTGCATGCAGCACCTGTAGTGTCAGGTCTAGCCTGTGTGCCAAACCAGCTCTATGTGCAGGGTCAATCCGAGACCCACAGGCTGGCTCCACAGGTTGGATGCAGCACATAGACAATATGTTAGATACCCACGTTCTACCCGATTCCTGTTGCTCACTTTTAATGCCATAGGTGTTTGTGACCTGAAATACTCCTTTCTAATGGCCTTGATATTCCTAATCATGATGCTATCCTTTCTTCAGCAATTTTGCTGTGTGTTAGATACTCCCAGTCTCTCTCCTCTTAATTCACAGCCCTGTAGATTGTTTTTAGCTCTTTTCCAAAATTCTAGTTCTGCCCATGGAGTCTGGTCTCCAGCAGCAGCAGTTAGTTTCAGCCTTTGTCTGAGCAGGGAAGAGCTGCTGACAATTCAGCTGAGAAAGGGTTAAAACTGTAGCATTTTCCTAAAGAGGAAAGGGAGGGTGAACAAGCTGAAGATTAGGCTCTGTCCCTGCTCTGTGTAGCCAGAACTCTAGAAAAATCTTTTTCTTCATTCAGCCTTCCTAAACACAAAGTGTGTCTTTTATTTGGGGGCATGCAGTATGCAAGAAAATATGGTATCTTCCCTTCCTGCTGCCCAGTGGGTCAGCTTCAAGGGGAAGAATGAAGAGTGCCTACAACCTGGTGGTGAAAGCACATTTGTTGGGAAGGGCCAGGTACAGTGGCATCAAAACCTCTTGGAGGGTGGGAGAGGGGCCTAGAGCCCTGGGCCTGAGCAAGTACTGTAACCATAAGGCTATTGGGTTAGAAGGTGGAAGGGCTGCCTCTTCCAGACACCTGCTAGTTGTGGTTTTTCTGCATCGAAAGTTTTGGGACTTGCACAACATTATGTGTGAGCCTGGGCAATTCAGTTCTGCTTGGGTGCCTACACACAACCAGAGTGCAATTTTCTGAGTATGCTGAGACAGAAGCTCAAGGCAAGTGTTGCTATGCACGTGCAAATAGAATCAAACTGCATGAGCACCAGAAGTTGCAGTTATGGGGCATGTAAGTGCCACTTGGTCATGTAACAGTGAAATATGATGTAGCCCCTCTGATGCTGAAGGATCCTTGAGCCCTTTAGAACCGCTGAGAAATATGTACTTATGCAGGAAAAATGGAATATTGAGGACAGGGGCAGCTTATGTAAATTTAGCATCCACCTTCCTGGGCTCAGATTTTTGTCCTGCCAAATGAATCATGCTGCTTCCCTCAGGTCTTGCACAAATGCGTTCATGGTAGGGAAGTGCAAGCATTCAGGTTTAGCGCGAGGAAAAGATACCCAGGCAGACCAGAATAGGTGAAGTGCTGAGCATCCTGTGAGCTTTGGGTGTTCGACACCTGGCAGGCTGTGCTCTGTACTCTGTTGGATCAGGCCTGAAATCATGTGCTGAAAGCCCCGTAGCAAGGTAATATCACGGAGGGAATTAAAATGTGGAAGCACGTGATTCAAACAAAATCATTGGTCTGGCTGAATGGCCACTCTCTACTCCTGCAAGATGATTTGTACCATTTATTTTCCAGCTTTGGTCAAATGCTGAATAGTTTCTTGATGTGATGATTGGGGTGGGGGAGATGGAAACGTAACTAGACCAAGATGTAAAGAGAAGGAGAGACTAGTTAACTTGTAAAGTTTGGGGAGAATCTGGTCAGCAGTGCTCTCACATGCTTGGACATGCCCCCAGTCCATTAAGTGTTGCTTCTTCTGGTTCGCTTCTGCACAACAGCATTACCAAGGTTTCCATCACCTTTTTTCTCCCCTCCTTCCTGCTTTTAAGCACTGCCTGTCCTGCAACATACACTCACTTAAAAGTGTGAAAACTGTTGCCCTGAGCATTATAAAGGCCATCAGCTTTGACAAAGCCATCTTTTAGTTTTGGTTTAACAATTAAATATGTCAATAACTGCTTGAATGGAATTGATTGGGTTTTGTCTTTTGAAGCTGGATCAAATATTCTTTCTGAACTTGTATTCGTGTTATAGCATGCTTATGTAAGTACATTAAAAGTAGACAGCAATTTTTCTGTGGGGAGAGGGAGAGAAATCTTACAATGCAGGTGGGTGGTCACTTACTAGCAATAATACACTGCAGATAAATTCTTATGCTGTAACCCCAAGATCCCATCAGGTGTCTGTAACTCTAGAGTAACTTAACACAGTATCATATTATTGATGGGTTCCTTTCTTCTGTGACCTCAGGCAAGGTCAGCCTGTATATCCCATCTCGAGTGGATTTAGGCAGCCCTACCCATCCTCACTCTCAGTCGACCCTTCCATGTCCAGGTAGGTGTAGGAGCTGAATGACTGACTGGGGAGTAACTGCTGGCATTAAAGGGCAAGTTGGTCTTCTGCTTGCATCTTAGTCTGCCTTTGCTTGCTTTTCAGTCAGCTAAAAACTTACGCATAATTTTTATATAACATGTTTGTGCACATACAGTTTTGCCTGGATCCCACACTGGTCTCATTTCACGTTTTCCAAGCAGCCACTGACATAATAGAATTAGTTAAAAATACAATTTGTAAGTATTTTTAATATTCAAATCACTTTTTCTAAAATGTGCAAAAATAGTTCACTGTTTAGCCACAGCATAGTAGAACGCTTCCCTAAGTGTGAAGTCAGATAAAATACGCTGTTCCAAGTTTAGATTCTGTACTTTAATTCTGCAGTTTGCCTTGAATAGTTTGGGTACCATTCCATTCAGAAACGTACTATAAAAGTAGGTGTTTCTTAGCCCAGAGCTCTTGAAAGCGATGCTAACAAGGTCAGTCTACACTGGTGTGTGAATCAGGCACTGTGTCTCCATATTAAATGCAATCAAGCAGTGCTAACTGAAACTTGGCCATGCCACACTCAGAACCTTCTCTGTGTAATGCTTTGCACTCTGGAAAGGCGGCTTCTGCATCCTGTGCTTGATGTACGCAAGGTTGCAAATACCATTCCTGCATTTTGTGTGCCCTTTTAAGAAGATGTGTATCTTACGCTGGGGTTCAGATCGTCCAAGTCATACATGATGGCAGTCACCCCTTCTTAATAATGGGTTCTAGAGGCTAATCATGTTTTCCTTACTCCTTTGTAGGTGAGCAGCAGGCGTGGCTTAGTTAAAGTGTCTGAGAAAAAAAGATACCTACTCTACTCCATAACAAAAATATCACCCCATTTTGTTTGATTACTGAGTTTTCTCACACAATGGCTATAGTATGGAGTCAGAGGAACTTGATCCTGCAAAAGGCTGCCTGCTTCATCCTCAGTCTAGCAAACCCACTGAAGCGTGTTCTTGCTTTAATGTCATTGGGACTGGACTGTTTTTAGGCTTAAAATTAAACATGTGCTTAAGTACTTTACTGGATTGAGGTAACAAAATTCACTATCTCCAGGACTGAGCTCAGTTGTTTTGGAGGACTTTTTTTTGGCACCCTTGCACAGTGAAAAGAAGGGTTGATAGTACAAGAACCAGTTGTCTTCCTTTCCCCAGAATACTGTAGTTTTGCTTGAAGTAGTAAAAAATGCTCTGAGTTTATGATAGGTGTAGCCAAAATTAATTATCTAAGACTATCACTTCACTTTCAAGACAGAATCACTTGCTTTTCAAAATAAAGTGAAAAAAAATCATCTATGGGATTTTTTTTTAAGGACTCTTCTTCCCTTTTGGTTTGTGCTGCATGGCAGTTCCCTCTCTTTGTGTTGGCTGGTGGTGGATATTCTAAGAGTGTTGATATGCTGGTGTGGCCATGCAGGTTTTGGTTGAGGAATGTGTACTTCTATTGTTATCCAGTGCAACAGTATGTGTTGCATTTCTGCATGTGCATTGTCAAACTCTTCACCTGAAAGGTAACAACATACATTGTTGAAACCAAAATGTTGACCTGATTTTGAAATAAACCAGATACAATGCACAAATCTTAGGCAAGTAATTTTTACACATTCTTATTAAATAGTGTTTGAGGCATCTTACTGTTCTCAACCAGTCTTTGCTATTGTTATGAATCTCTGTACTTGTTTTCTTTTCCTAGGTTTTCACATCATATGATTCCTGGACCTCCAGGCCCTCACACAACTGGAATCCCTCATCCAGCTATTGTAACACCTCAAGTCAAACAAGAACATCCGCACAATGACAGCGAACTAATGCATGTGTGAGTCTGCCTTTCTGCACTAGCCCTTACTCTGAAAACACTTCAAAAGTCTGTAGTTAAAAGTAGGGCTGAAGAGTTAAACAAAACCAGTGTCTTTCACGAGTGCTCTGAATTCTGACTCTTTATTAACACTAAGGAAGGGAAGTGAATGTCTTCTTGGAGGAGTGAAAAGGTAGGGAGGCTTGTCTTCCAGACCACTACCTTGAATCTGATTCAGGGCAATAGCTGCCAAAAGCTGGTGGCCAGTTGGTGGCCTATCTGAAGATAAACTACCTGATCATCAGTTCATGAATCCCTAGATCAGAAGTCCCCACTATAATTGGCATTCTGTTTAGCAGTTGAGTGCAAAAGGTCCAAGAAGCAAATGGGCAAAGAAACTGAACTACCCTTTCACCTATGGCGGTTGCCTTTGGAGTATTGTGGAAAAGTTGCTGGCAAAGAGGTGTGGACCTTACTGTTGCTGCTACAAAGGTGGACTTAGGTTTATTGGTGAAACAGACTTCACCAGTTGGATATGGCTGCCAAACCAGCTCCTTGAACACTAAATTCATTCATTAAAAACAATAAGTTCAGGAGCTGCAGTCATAGCTCAGACTTGGCAATTTGAATTCAACGCACAATAGTACACACAATCTGGACTTGAAGCGTAGAAATTTCCCTCTCAATATATTTTAGGCTAAAGGTAAATAGTTGCTATCTTTTTTCCCCCCACCACGTTTTAGGAAGCCTCAGCATGAACAGAGAAAAGAGCAAGAGCCAAAAAGACCTCACATTAAGAAACCTCTGAATGCTTTCATGTTGTATATGAAAGAAATGAGAGCAAATGTTGTAGCGGAGTGTACTCTGAAAGAGAGCGCAGCTATCAACCAGATTCTTGGCAGAAGGGTATGTACAGTAATATATCTGTGTATATGTGTGCGTACACTAGTAATTGGCCTATGAATCTCTTTAGAAGATGCAAAGGCTAACTTTCTGCTTGATGCATTGACTAGTTTACAATGATTAAATAAGTGAATAGGAGTCCAGGGTATGAAACCTAAAATTAGCTTCATCTGGTTCATGCAAGAAAGTTAAATATATCATCAAATTAGACTTTCTTATGTTTAGTTGTGATTCTCCCACTTCCCCCTTCAATATGCATGTTATTGATGTTTATCAGCTCACTGCACCTAAATTACACTCCCTGTAAATTTAGAAGTAAAATACAAACTCCAGGGAGTGAGTACCAGAGACTTCTCTTACAATTATCCATGCTCAGTATGAATGGGCTAGCCAAGACCAGGTGTGACTCCCAAAAATTAGAAGAATGAGGTGATTATGTAAATGCTGTTTTTAAGGATATTGCGTCTTTGGAATCAGATGTTTAAATGTCTCCCTACTGTGGACCACCAACACTGCCCAATATTCCTATGCAGCATAGCAATTTTCTAGACAAATAAGCATGTGGATTTTAGGGCACCCAGGCTAGTTCATCTTTTAAAATGGAAATCTTGCTCAAGCTTAACCAGGGAAGACTTGTCATTCTATTCAAGTCTGAAGACTTGCTTCCCCAACTAACAGGAAACATACGCCGCTCCTTTTTTGACTCCTATAACCTATTTTTCTAGTCATCTTGATGGACATTCAGAGGGAACAGGACGCATGTGAAATGCAACTACCAAAATATCAGAAGTGGCTTGCATTGAAAATCACTTCCTTCTTTCTGCTCTCTCTTTGAATCACTTCACTGACGACTCCTTTTTGATCATATCAAACAAGTTTCTTGTGACTATGTTCACGGCCCTGCTGATAACGTTCATTAATATCTTCTTCAGTCATTCTTGAGTCATACCCTTCATGACCTCTCCAGTCATACCCTTGATGCCCTGGTATTATCATCTTCCTCTCTCATGCCTCAGCACTTTTGCCCAGGCTGTTGTTAGCATAACGTGCAGCAAACTTGCAGTGATGCCAGTAAGAATGATGACAAATGATGCCATCAGAACAAATTTATTTAGCTTTTGATTACTTTCTGATTAATGGCCCAAAAACGACTGTGTGCTCACCCTGGTTATCTACATGACCTATGTACTGTCTGTCCTAAATTTCTTTACACCACACTGTCATCATTTCATTGCATGTGCAACTTGGAGTTGGGCATCATTCCTCATCTAGAGAGCTTCTAGTCTGTGAACTGAAAAACCGTGCAAGGTGCCATAGTATGGTAGGAACCATGACCCCTGTGAGAGAACTCTACCTGCAAATGAAAAGAGTTCCTGTTCCTGGAGCCTCCCCAGGGTCTAGATTTTAAATAGGTAGCTTGTGTGGGAGGTGGTAAAAACTGTTAACAGCTGCATCCCCCCACAAGAATATGTAACAAATCCTCATGAAAAACTGCCAAATCTAATAAAACCTTTGGCTTTATGGTCCCCTGTTCAGAATTAGCTCATATAACAAGGCCACTTAGGTGCATAATGGCTCCTAACAATATTTTTTTCTTAATAAAAACAAAAATGCATAAGATAATGAGGAAATAAAATTTAGCTCATTGTCTTATGCCTGTAAAAGCCAAGAAATGCAGCAATAACACCTGTATATCTAGGCTACAGTTGTCCCTTTACTGCTGACTCCACACTTAATACAATTTCCACAAATGAGGGTCTTGTTCAGACTACATTTGCATCCTTAACTCTAAATGATCTTGCTTGGAATTTAATCATTTATCTTATTAATAGTAAACATATCTCTAATTTGAACATTGAATACCTAACCTCCAAGAAATATGAATCTTTGGTTTCAAAGGCATCTCTGTATTCATGTAAGCAAATTTTACGCAGGATTTGGAAATCCCATTTTTGTTGTTGGATAGCATAGGAGTTTGACTGACAAGACTTTAAGCCTGTGAGAAATTGAACTCATTCAGCAGTGCCACATCAGAAGCAGCTACGTGACCTTGACTCTAGGGAATAAAATGAAACTTCTCATGGCCCTGCAGGTGCACGTCTCCAAATAACCTGTAAACTTTCTATGAAGTCTCGATGAGAAAGACAGGTTTCCCTTATCAGAAAGTATTTTAACCTTCAAGCCTGTGGTTAAACAGCTAGTTTCAGTAGTTTTGCTTTCAACTGCATAATCTCTCCAGAAAATGCGGCCATTCTCTTATTTTCTTAAACATTTTCACTTCAGGTGCACTGGAGCAGAAATGCCTAAACTGACAGCTAGTTGAAGCAGACTGACCTTTCTAGCTTAGCCTCTTGGTCTAGTGAAAGCTGGCTGCCTTAGTTGGATCTACCTGCTCCATGAATCGCATTCTTTGTGTGCAGTTTGTTCTTCAGATGTTACTTTTCTTTTACTTGGGTTGCCATTGTTCTTGCTTATATGAAGAGACATTGAATGCTAGTTCCTCTGGAATGTTTTATACACTAGTATTCCAGCGTCTTGTGCGGAGCATGGCAGAAAGCAGTAAATAAGTTGCATGTGTTATGGTTAGTTGCATAATAAAACATGCCAGATGAAAACATAGTAAACACTTAGTTTGTATTAGATGTGAGGGTCACAAAACAAGGCAGTAAGATGAGACTGACCCAACATATTAATCATCTGCTAAAAGTAGTTTTAGTTACCTGCCTATAGCTTTTTCGTGTTTCAAATTTTCTCCTATGTTGTGTGAGAAATTCAAACCAACAAGAAAATGGCCCTGTATAGCAAACTAAACTTAACTCAGCAGATATAAAATACGCCCCCCCCCCCATCTCTTCAGTTAATGTTCTCATAGGTGCAGCAGCAAGTACAAAATTGCCAGATACTGACTTAGGTAGTTCATGTTGCCACTTTGACAATTCAATTTCAGTATTTTAAAAGTGGTTAAGAGAGCAAAGCATCTTTCTTTGGCCTTCTTCGAAGTGAAGTATGTGTAAAGAAAAGGGTCCTCTGGTGTCATAGAAACTTTTGCATTGCTGTTTCTCCTATTGCATGCAGGGGCAGAGTCAGGGTAAAGCTGGATCAAGGCTTGACATTTACAGGGGGGCAGTTGGGGAATACATTAGGTCACACTCTGAGTTGCAGTGCGGGACTGTGAGGGTGTACTTTGGCTGTCTGGACTTCCTTGCCATTGATGACTTTAAAATGGCTTGTAAAAGAATCGTGCATGATGCTAACCAAACAGAAAGGCAGCCCCTACCGCTGCCCCTGCACTGTTCATTCTGCAGTTCATTTACCAGGCGTTACATTAGAATTGAGAGACTAGAGGAACACTCTTGTGTTTTCATAAACACGTGGAAAGGAGATGATCACATGAAGACATCTTTGGCTACAGTGGCCATAATAAAACAGAGCTTTTTATGTGATGGTCAGAGAACATGGCTTTATGAGTAGATCACTTGGAGAGTCCTGTAGTTCTATAAATAATTTTTTTGTCTAGCTCCAGGCAGTTGGCAGTTGTAATGCTGACAAAGTGCCCAAAAACTGGTTAGGAAATGCAGGTGTTCATAATCACTAGCAAATTACTTCTTTGCAATGGGAAAGGATGAAATAAAGGTCAAAGAAACACTTGTTTGTGACATGCATTTCTTGGGTATGAGGCATTTCCTGGTTTAATGCTGTGTTTATTTTATTTGCAGTGGCACGCTCTCTCCCGTGAAGAACAAGCTAAATATTATGAACTAGCTCGTAAAGAAAGGCAGCTACACATGCAGCTTTATCCAGGCTGGTCTGCAAGAGACAACTATGTAAGCCACTTGCTTGATGGGTCTTTTCAACTATTTGTTTCCTTTACCTAAATATTTTTTTTTTTAATTGGGAAACACTCAGGAAATAAAGACAGTCAAGGGGATCTATGTTAGCCGTATATGTATTTGTCTATGAGGAGAATCCTAATCTTTTATTGCATTAGTACTATTCACTCATATTTACGAACTAGAATGTTGTTGTTGGATGGGGAGGTGTAGAAATAAATCGGAGATTTTCAAGGTGTTAATTCTTTTTTATTTTTACTAAAGAATTTTTAGTGTCCGAAGTTTTCAAAGCTTCTGTGAAAATCTTTACTTAAAGCTCGGTGCTCTTGCACTTTAAGATTTAGAAACTGTAGTCATAGATTGATTCATTTTCTTTTGCAAATGATAACACTCCCCCTCATTTAACACAAAGAATAATTTATTTTAGAATTTTCTGATGTATTTATTTGTATGGAATTCAGCAACCAAATGACAGAACAAGCTATAAACAACCTGTAAAGAATTTTCTGATAATACCATATGAAATACCTGATGATCCATGTCATTATGTACGGATATATTGAAATCGTGATATTTTTCAAATTTAATTTGACGTTTTCTTGCATTTGTGTTTGGTCATTGGTTCTTCATAAAATCTTGTGCTCATTAGATTTGAGAAGAGTAACTACTTCCCTGTACGAAAATCTAATATTGAATGTGATAGAAGCTCATCTTTTTTCCAAAAACAAATTTGAATTTCACATTTCCCAAATATAGTTCATTTTTGGAAAAATAAAGCCTACAAAATTTGGCAGGTTTCTTTTTTTTTTTTTTTCAAACAATAAAACCCTCAAAGAGTCCCCCAACCTATTAAAAATATTAATATTTTTTCATGTTTCATATTTGTTCCATGTTTACATTTAACAGAACTAAGAAGTTTTCTTTCCTAAGCATGCTAAAGTTCCTAATATTCCCAAACAAAAGGGACCATGCAAGGGTGTTGCTATGGCTATACCTGATGAAAACCATAGTTAAGATCTAAAGTAGAGGCCAGGATTTACACTGTTTAATAATAAGATGCACATCTTGGATGTAGTTTTAAACTTCATGTTAAGTTACTGTTCCTATAGGTAAAAGATCAACTTGCCAAAATCAGGCCCTTATCCATTGTGGCTTATCGTTGTGTTTTGTGAGTAAATATTCAGATGGAATTGAGCTTTCCAGGAACCTAGTGGAAAGCTGAGATTGTAGTGCCTTGAAAAATGTAGCCTACCACTATCATCACCCATTGATTTATGAAGAGCCATGAGTTTTACAAACCTCTGTGCTTGGTAGTTGTTCTAAAAGATCAAATGCCTCGTGCTTGTGTGCTGTGTGATAAAACATAAATCCTGTGATCCTCCAGAAAGAGGAATCTGACCCTGAGATGTGGATTCCATTCCCTGTTTCATCGTTTGTTTTTTTTATATCAAATGCTCTTAGGCTTGGGGGGCACATTTATTTGTAGTATTGCAGTGTCTTAGCACCTTGTAGCGCTACAAAAGTACAGTCCAATGGGGGTGTACTTGTGTTTGGGGCCCCCTGGCTGCAGTGCCAAAGTTGCCACAGTGGTGTACTATCAAGGGTGTGATAAATCACTGCTTCTTCACTCTCCCTGCCCTCACAGGAGTCTTTCAGTAAGACTGATCACTGACAGCCTTCTCAGTCTCCCTTCCTCAACAGGGGAGAGGAAGGGAGAATCAGAATGTCTTTGATAGTTGCTACTCTGGGTTCTTGGCATCTCTTCTCACCCCCTCCTACCCCTGAAGTGGCAGCAGCTCTCTGCCAAAACCACTGGTTCAGTGATGGATTGTGGCAGCAAGCAGAGCTGCAGCTCCAGGTCCTGGCTGGGCTTCAGCTGTCTTCACTGCTGGTTGTCAGGGAACGAGCCCTTGGAGCGAGGAGGCAGAGTGGAGCACTGTAGGAAGTTGGGGGGCACCAAAAAACTGCCCGCCTGTAGCTCTATATGTAACTCTCATTGTGTTATATGTGGCACTATAAAATGTAGTGCTGCAGAGATGTTCCTGTTTAACACAGGAACTTTTTGTGGCAGATATATCATTTTGTGACACTACAGAGAGTATGGGCATACACACACTTGCTATTTTCAGCACTGAAAGGGCATCTACAGCTCTACAGATATAGCATTTCTCCAAGGCCTTAGTTTCTCATTTGTAGTTTTCCTTCAGTAAAAACTGGATAGCTGCATTTACTATACAAGGTGGTTTTAGTGCTTGACTGCTAAAGTAATAGGGCCCAGGTCCGGAAGTACCTATGTCTTCAGGTATTTATTTGTGAACTTAGACTCTTTGGGGAAGGCTCTTGGCAATGAAAGTGTTGTCAGAAGCCGTTTGAAAGTCACCAAAGCAAATACTTTCCCCCTCCGATTCCCACTTTTGATAGCACATTTGCTACTTTCTTAAGCCCCATCTCCAGTCAGAGATTAGCCTGTATTGCTTATTTGTAGGCTCTTCTCTTGCATCACAGTGTTTGTGCATCTCACCATAGCGTTCTCATTTCCAAAGCATGTTCCAAGCTGCAACTCATTCAGGCTCCTTGTGTAGTTGCATGATCTGCTGAGCAGTGGTCCATAGGTTGACAGAGGGAAGCAGTGCAGTACCTGTAACAATGTCTTGTATAGTAGAAACAGCAATGGGTGAGGGAATACGGATGAATAAACTAGGTATCTTATGCTGTTGGTCTGTCTGGACAGCTCCAAAAGTAGATCCGATTGGACTGCCATAACATCTCTCCATGGCAGCACACCTAGTTTATGTCTCCATGGCAGCACCATCATTATGTTCAAGTCCAGCTAGGAGCGTACTAATAGTCATGTTTGGCCATGAGGCAAAAATGCCATGCTGAGATGCTTGGTGGTTAATGATACTTCAGATAAGGGCACTCCTGTTTTTGGAGTTTCCAGCTTTTTAAGTGTCCCATCAGACTTTGTGAGTGTGCAGGTACTTATTTGGAATTAGTTGGTTAATGTCAAATAGATACAGACTCATCCCTCTTCCCCACCCCCATCAAATTGTAAATATAAAATATTGCCTGTTGCTGTCACCACAGCCAAAATCCCAATGAAGTGATGGACTTCATAGCATGCCAAAGGTGAGCATTTCCATGCTCTGGTAGAAAAAACAGTGATTTCCAGTCTGGGGCCTGCCATGACATTTTTGTACTTTACTCCCCAGAAGTTGACCTCCTCTATACATTACCTGGTTAATTGCACAATTAATTTAGACTAGCTACATGTGCAAATTAACTATTATGCCTTAAAAGGTCCATCCAGCTATAAAGTTAGAGCTGGAAAATATGTAATAACTTTTTTATACCTGGTATCTATCCAGTTTTCATTTGTAGGGTCCATGCCCCTGCAGCTGGAAGCTCCATCAGCTGACAGGTCTCTCAGCCCCAGGGTTGCAGTAGGCACTACTGCGGCTGCATCTCCGACAGCTGATGACCCTCAGATCCATGGCACTGTCCCACAGGCTGCTGTGGCTGGGAGTCCTGTCAACTGGGAGTCCTCGGGCTGCCACGGATGAATCTTGTCTGCTGACGGGACTCCCAGCCATGGCAGCTTGCTACTAGTATGCTGGTGCAAGGGGAGCCCAGGATTGTATTCCTGGGCCCTTCCTGCACCAGCAGTAAGGCACAATAGGATCTGATGCTGGATCCTACAGCTGTTATTGTGTGGATCATGCATGAAATCCTATCATGCCTTTACATGAATATCTAGAGGGGGCCATTGAAATAGTCACCAGTACAGGTAAATTAGCTGATGAGCTGTTATGTGATAAATAAGGATTTTGTTTCCAATACCCAAACTATGTTAGTAGACCTATACTGAAGTGCATCCAGAAGCAAATAAATAAGTAGTATAAAAGAGGTATTTAAAAGCAAGAGGATTTCCACTGTCCTGCTTGAAAAGCAACCACATACTTAGGAACTGCAATTATGGCTACCCCTCCCCAAGTGCTCCTTCCACCCCGGCTACCACACACATCTTTGGCTGGCATATGCTTTCTGAAGTCAAGCTTTATGATTTGTGGTTATTTTTTAAAGTTTCTTTACAACCCAGTGATGGACACTATAGGAGGACAAGATGCCATATACAGATCTGTATCTCTTATCTACTTTCTTACTTGTGCCCACTTTACTTTGTTACAGACCAACATTTTTCAGACAGTGTACTTATCTTATGGGATGGCATGTTTTTGGACACTGTTGCAGTCCCTCTTCCTTTTACTATATATGGTGGGATGGCAATGATCAGAGCAGCTCAGAAGAGAGCATTTTTATCAGTCAGTCTCTTTGAGCAGCCATCATTTGAGTGTTTTCTTTTTGGGTTATTACTTTGATTGTGTGATCAGACTAAAAGCTAAGACAACATTCCTCCAGTACCTAAAATCTAAAAAATGTTGAATTTGTCAAATTTGGTGGCTGCTGGCAAATGCACTAGTGTCTGAAGTTTACAAAATAATGTTAGACATAATCCAGTCTCAGAATGACTCCTCTGTTTTAGTTGGTCTGGTTTGTTCAAGCTCTTTCAGAAATGTCAAGAGTGTTTCCCAAGTGCATTCTTTGTTATTTGTAGTACTGACACTGACAATCTTCCTGAAGCACCTTTTCAGTTCCTTCTGTCTTTCCACTGTCATGATATTCCTGGAACAAAAAAACCCGCCTCTGACTTGCATTAATATCCTCATTGGAAAAGAGGAGATTGCTAACAAAATTACTCTATTAGGAATGAGCTTTGTTTCCCTCTAAATCCTTCCTTGGATGTATCCAGATTCATTATATTTGGTGGCAAAAAAAGGGAAAAAGTCATGACCCTGGGCAAGTAAGGGGACAGGCCTGCCTTAGTTTACATCTGAAATAGGCAGAATATTCACCACAAAAAGGCATTTAGGGTCTAATGTCTGCAAAAAGTGCTTTGAGGTTCTTGAATTAACAATTTGGTTCCAAAAGCTAAGTAGGCTGTTTACAAATCACTTTGTCCAAACACTTTGTTTGCTTACAATAGCATTTGACTCTGTCACTTGTAAACACAAACTGCATTTGAAGTCATTATTTCAAGCCAGCCCTTGCTATCAGTTGATTTAAAATGTCAAAATTGCAAGCAGTGAGTGTATGCAATATGTCTCTTCATTAATGTGAGCAAGATGTACCTGCCTTTCTTGATCATGGCAACCATTTAATCCCATCAAATGTGACAAAGTGAATAAAATGCAACCTCCGTGAAGGGTAGTACCACCTTCAGTAGTGAAATGTCTTAATTAGGGGATAGGCAGACAAGGTTCCTTGGGTGAATTTGATATCTTTTATTAGACCAACCCAAATGGTTGGAGAATAGTTATTAAGCAAGCTTTTGAGTTCAAAAACCCTTTGTCAGGCTAAGGAAGTTTCAGCAGTTGGTGTGTGCTCTTCCTGGATGGAATGAAAAGTGAAGAAGTCAGGGGCTGGGCTGGGGAGTCAGTTGCCAGGCAGATTGTAATGTATCAAAAATCCAATGTCTATGTTTAGTCCCTGATCTCTAGTATCCAGGTTGATGAAATGGAGCTCATAGGCTCGTCTCTGGGAAGTGTTGTGTAAGTTTCCCTTGAGGATCAGGACTGAGAGATTGGAGAGAGTGGCCCTCCTGTGAGTAATGTGCCCCCACCGGTAATTGGGTATTTCTGTCTTTGATAGATTTCTGGTGTGTGTTCATTCTGGTGTGCAGTTGTTGTTTGGTCTGTCCTACGTATTTTCCATCAGGGCATTTGGTGCATTGGATGAGATATATAACATTTCTGGAGGTGCAGCTGCAAGATCCAGGGATGCTGATAGCTCTGTTGTGGGGTGTAGTAATTGTGGGGGTGGTGGAGATGTGGATAGATTTTTAGTTTCCTCCTTTATGCTGAGTTTTCACTATAATTTTACTTTGGATTTAATATCTTTGTAATTCTGGAGGATCCCAAAGTAATCTCTAACTGTAGGTAGCACTAGGGCAAAGATCAAAATCCAGGACTGCCCCTCCCAGGAGAATACCCTTCTTGCTCTCATCTTTGGGGTTAGAGTCACACTCTCTCTTCTTCTATTTCTGGCCCTGTGAATCTTGCATTTTTGTTTGACCCGGTGCACAGTGGCCCCATTGCAATGGGACAAGTGGAGCATGCCTCCATCCTAGACTGGGTGTTAGCCTGGTGGAGACTGTGCTCCTTGGAAGTGGGAGGGCATCAGTTTGAAACCCTTCAGGCAAAAGGAAGCATTGCTCCTCAGGGTTCCCACTTCTTGGGGTAGTGTTCCAGTAAGAAGGCAACTGTGTATACGAGTGGTTCTCAACCTTTTTTAGACTTGAGGCATCCCCTAGAAAATGCTGACTCTTAGTTTTCACTTCATTTTTTTGACTATGGAAAAATAATAAAGCAGTGTTTCTGTTGCAAAGAACTCAGAGACAACAGGTCACAATTTTTAACACCATGGATTCTTACTTGAAATCTCTGGGTTGATCTTGTGAAATATGTTTGCACACCTAATAGTGTGCCATGGTACCCTGGTTGAGAATCACTGGTATAAAAACCTCTTTTGGCCATGTTTAAAAAACAGAGAGCCAATACAATTCAGATGTGAAATTGTATTCATTTATACTATCACCCCCGTCAGAAGAAAATGTATATAATAGTATAGTAAACTGTTTCTTTTCTAGGGGAAGAAAAAGAAGAGGAAGAGAGAAAAGCTACAGGAGTCAGCATCAGGTATGTTATAAGTGACTTGCTTATATTTAAAAATGTGCAGTTTCACTCTAGGGTGGTTTTCCTTTAACACTTATTTTTGTTTCACCTTTTAAAAAATATGTCAAATATGCATTCTTTCTTGAGAAAACACAAATATATTAACTTCAGATGAATGTATCCATTGCCAACATCATTGTCTTGCTTTTACTTTGGTTTCTTTCATGCTCATCTTGATTTTGACATAAGTGAATGTGTCAAATATTGTGTAGGTTTAGTGGAAACTAAATAGACCTTTCACTTCACTTTTGTAGCTACTATCAAATTGTTTATCATACTTTACATTTTTGTACACTAACAACTGCCTAGTAGGTTGGCTCGAAGCATCAGTGAGGTCTCTTCTCTTCCTCTCTTTTTTTTATTTTTTTAAAGAAAGGGGAAAAAATTAACTCTCCCAACAAAAATGGCTGGTATAAGAACCACAAAAAGCACCGAAAACAAATCCATGTAATAATTATAGCATAAAAACTTATTTGGAATGTGCAAAAAAACCCAACAAAACCTCTTTAATGGAAATTTGTTAAAGCACAACAATCTTCTACAGGTACAGGCCCCAGAATGACAGCTGCCTACATCTGAAGCATGGTAAGAACATCTCTAAAGATTTCCTGCTCAAATTTAACTGTAAAATACACATCTTGCATACCTTTAATTCTACAATGATATCAATTTATAAAAAAATTACAGAAGTATCATATCTCAAAGTCAATGTTATTTTGATTATGGATGGTTTTTATACCGGCTATCTATTAGGTATTCCCCATCTCCTCTTTACGTTTTTCAACCTGACCATACCTCACTGACTAGCTGCAAGTCTGCCTGTGAAGCACAAGGATGGTTTCATTAAACAATGCAAACCCTTTCAGCCAGCAGGATGTCACACAATTCATAGGTCAGAAACAGGTCAGATTTGCACTTTTTTAGTAATGCAGCTAATGTGTTCCTGCCTTTAAGATGCTGGCTGGCTGGGTGTTCTAGTTGTTCTTTTCTCATTCAGCCTTTATAGTTGAATGATCCATACATATACTAACACAATTCCAGATGTAAGGAAATGTGACTGTTTCAGCTATTAAGAATTTCTTTCTTGTGGTTATGGTTTTAAGTGTCAGGTTTTTTAATATTGTTTCCACTTCTGTTCTGTATCTTAGAGATGCTTCTCTCTTTACCTCATCTTTCCCGCAGGTAGACAGCTACTAACTAAACAGTGGATATTAACTAATTATACTCATGCTACTAGATACCAGACCAGAGTCTGAGTGGCATTTAATTTCTCTGTCTGGAAACTGAAAGGACTTGTGGCTTCTTCCTTGTGTACTGGAATCTATTTATACAGGACACAGAGTCCACCAAAGTAGTGATAATCTTATTAGCCAAGATAGTAACTTCAGAGGTCAAGGATTCTGGACACTATGCAAGAAGTAATTCACTCTTAGTTCCAAGATGTATGTTAATACTGATAGATTTTTCCCTTGCTCCCCACCCATGCTTTTAACCACATTTTTTGTCACTGCTTCATATTTTAGGTTTTACTTCCTGTGGTCTACTTTATATAGTAGATCAGGCACCATTCTATGACTCGTAGTAGAACCACTGGCAGGGAAATCTGGAGTCAAAACATACATTAAAAGCAATCTTATAGCCATTGGATTTAAAAAAGAGGTTTAGCAATCAACAAATTACATGACATATTTGCAAACCTGGCTGTGAGCATTCGTTATAATATGAGATCAGCTATATACAAATGAAACAGAGTAGGCCCATGTCATGCTCCAGACTTGTGAAGGGCAATAGTAAGTAATACAGCAATGCTGAATCCTTTAACCTAATGTTGAAAAGAGTAAGTAAAACTGCATCCTGTTGGAGAATCCAGCTGCTGGTTGCGATTCCTGCAGTTAGTTTCCCCTAGCAACATCGCTTCTCCCTCTGAGCCCCAGAACTGTTTTCAGAATGGGAGAGGGGAAAGGGAGCAGAGGGAGCTCATTCTGGGTGTTCCCCAGCCTGTGCTAGAGGGTGGGGTGAATGAATTGGAGTCCTCCCACCTCAGAGGGACTCCAATCCACCCACCCCACCCTCCAGCACTGGCTGAAAAAAACCCAGACCAAACTCCCTCCACTCAGGCGAAAATTGTCACTTCTGTCTGTGCCTTTGTGTTTTGCCAAAGTGATGCACGTTACCTTTTTGTCTACATACAAATCAGCAGCTGCACAGACCACAGTTCATCTTGGTGGTTAGTCCAAGTTGAGTCATGGTGAAGAGATGACTATTGTAACTTTTGTCAAACTCAGATGAATGGTGCTGGTCAGTCCTCTGGTTGGATAAGGCCCACAGACTGGCCCTGTGTACAGGATCCAGCATGCAAAGCCAGTTCAGCATGGTACCATGAGCAGTATGTGCCCTGGCCTAGCCTCAAGTGCAGCTAGCAGCATATCGTCTGGACTGGTCCCGCACACCAGACTAGTGCCACACTCCAGTCTGGTGTACCTCACATGCAGTGTGCAGGTCCAGTCTGAGACCCACAAGGCAGCACTGTAGGCCAGATAATAAGGCTCCATGGGCTGGATTCAGCCTGTGCGTGATATCTTTGACACGTCTGCTGTAATATAACGTGTTGGGTACTTTTTCAAAAAGCGAGCAGAAGATAAATTTACAAGCAAATATTACGGAGGGATTTTTTTCTGTTCAGCAGAAATTATTTCAGACAATGTGATGCAGTCCTTTCCTTCATAGTATTTAGATGTGCATTGCAGCATTGGATTTTTCTAGCCTGCAAAATAAAAATTGCTCTGAAGTTTGACTAGCTACTGACAGACATGAATGCTTTAAGCACTAGGCTCCACCCAGAGGATCTGTAAATTCAGATTTTGTTTGGGAACTGTGTGAAGACATACTTTGTCCCTTACTAGGAATACTTAATTAAAAACTAATATGTTATTTAATAGAAACTCATTCACCTGAAATCCTGTTCCACTCTGATAAGTAGCAAAGATCTTCTGTACATGCCCCTAATGATAAAGCAGAAAGCCTCCAAAGACTTCTTCAGTTATTTTCAAATTGAAAACACATATGAAGGGTCATATTTGTAGACTGTTTGCTCACAGACCACATTTTGCATACATAACCTCCCTTTTTAAGCAGACATACAAAATACAGGTCTAATTTTTTTTGCATCATTTGGTTTCTTTCTGCCCTTTCTATGGAGCCATTTGCCCAAATAAGAAAAAGGTGGTGGCCAAAGTGTTAAAATTGGCCAAATTTCTTCTTGTATCAGCATTGTTATTCCGCCAAATCTAATAAATTGTGTGTACATGATTAAGTCTGGGGTTTCAGCTGCTTTAAAATGGAAGTTTTTTCAACTTACTATCACATTTCCAAATCTGCCACAATTTCAAGCTTTGTAGGTGGGCAAAAATGCCTTATTCAATATACATGGTGTAGGTCTTTTGTTTATTTGTTTACTTTAGAGTTAATGTACAGGACTTAACTAGGAACAGAATATGACTTAATTTGATACAGTAGTTAAAGCTCTTGAGCACAGGAAAATGTTCAGCTTTCCTTTGATAATCTTGATTTCTTGACAGTCTGCTTTTAATATTCTAAGAAGAGATGCCCTGCCTAGACTGGAATATTTGTACTGGAATATTTTTATGGCATAACAGAGAATAAGAGTTTATTAGCTGAAATAGAACTGAGGGATGTTTAGTGTGTAGTGTCCTCCCCACAACAGGCATGAGAATTATTGTAATGCCTGTTTCTCTATCCTCAGTTTATAACATGGAATTTCAGAATGGTAGGTATCTTTTTCCACCTTGGGAAAGAACAGTCTTGTTGACTCCATCTACCTGTGTGCAGGCAACTTACTGGATGATACTTGCTGAAGGAGAATGTGCATGCGTGCGTATGTGCTTGCAGACAAGGTTCCTTGGGTGAATTTGATATCTTTTATTAGACCAACCCAAATGGTTGGAGAATAGTTATTAAGCAAACTTTCGGGTTCAAAAACCCTTTGTCAGGCTTGCTTGCATGCATGTATGTACATATGCTGAATGAACATACCAGGGTACTACAAATGTGCTCTGCTGAGCAGTAAGAATGGGCAGACTGCTTCAGATCATCCAAAACTTTGATATAAACTATAGCCATTCTCTAAGGTTATGTTAAGTACTCTTTCTGAATCTAGTCCAAAGTACAGCTTGCCCACAGTTATGATGCGGTTTCCTTCAATGAGTTACTGAGTCCACAATAAGGCTGTTGCAGTCACTACTGTCCAGTGATAATGTATTTGGACCCCAGCTGAGATATACTAGTGAGTATGAGATTTGAAGATGCCAAGAACATGAGACTTCCTGCCTTTGTAGAGGGTATGTAGCATGGCAGGCTGGAGGTGGCAGAGAGGGGTTCAGTGGTTTGAGGGAAAGCCGAAGTGAGCAAAGGAGAAAACTGATAAGGCCTAAGCAGGCAAAATCAGCCAGAAATGTGTACGTAATGGAACACAAGTGACAAGGCTAGGGAAGGGGGGGTTAAAAGGAGAAAGGAAGGGAAGAGATCCAAGGAGCAGAAATGGATTAAAGGAAACTGAAAGGTTTGCCCAAGCATATTTCAGCACATCTCCAAAATGTTTTGGTTTCTCTGTGATTTACTGATAACTGGTGGAAGCAAGGTAGTAAGTAGCTTTAGGACATGTCCATTTCTCCAACCGTGTGCACCCAAACTAACTGGTTACTGCTTCACTCCTGATGACTTATCATCATTTCCAACCTCTGCCCCATGCCAGCCTGGCTGCTCTAAAACATGAAGTGTTGTCAGAATTTAATCTCCTCAGTAATGTTGTTGGAAAATGCTGACACAGATGTCTGACCGTCCAGGTATTCTCCAAAGTATCACGACAAAACTTTTCTCCAAGCAAACATCTTTGTGGCTGGTATTTTGCATAGATGCTACTTACACGATTCCTGAAATATACGTAT